TATGCGAGCGCATTATCGGTGTTATTCAAGTTATGCTACCTCTTGAATTGTTTCAACACCCCCACGACCAACGTTTTTGAGCTCAGCAACGCCGGATTATCTATCAGTATCACACAATGACAAGCACATTCACACTAAATACTAGCCCCATTACGAAAACCTGCCGACCAGCGCCCAGTTTCATTCGGACGTCGGTCGCATTCCACATAGCCCCGCGGCCGCGTTCACAAACCACAGGGAGCGGCACTGGCCACGATACGCTCCACCAGCTGCTGCGCCACGCACAGGACACGCACACCACGCGCCGCACGCATCGCCGACGCGGCCGGTGCCGCACATATACCGTTATCTAGACCCCTGAGCAATGAGCTACCTGAGCAGTCGGCTCGGCGAAAAAACGGTGGTGGCGATAAGGCATATAACCGGCAACAGGAGCTGCAAAGCACGGGCGACCCGAGCGCGACCCGCAACGCCTGCAGCCTCGCGTTGCTACCAATGACGTCATATGACCTGTCGGTGACGTCATATGACCTGTCGGTGACGTCACCGACCTGTCAGTGACGCCACCGGTGCTGGGACAAAGGCCGTGCGCGGTGGCCCGTTACGAGCGGCCGACCGATCAGCTGACCGCCGCCGCCGCCGCCGCCGCCCGTGAGCGGCGGTCCGTTACCGGGCGGCCGCCGCCCCCGCCCCCGCCCAGCCGTGGCGGCACGGACGGGCGGGCGCACCCAGTTCCGGCCCTGCGGGGTAAAGTGGGCCTCGTCGCCGCTCCACTGGGGTAAGTGGGTCCCGGAGTGTGGCGGGCAGACCCGGGACGCGGATACCGGCAGAACAGAGGAGTGGCGGCCCCGAGGTGGCGGCGAAAGGCAGCACGATACTGGGTCACCGGTCAGGGTACGGTGGTCCATCGGCAAACAGGAAGAAGAAGAGACGGCGCGAGTCCATCGATTCGTATTGCTTGGGCTGTAGTTTGACAGACGCTAAAGCGATGTATCTAATAGTTATTTCATCGTGATTGGCTAGCTCGGGCCGGGGCTCACGGATTTCACGCCGTCCTGGCTGATTCGGATAGGATCTCACGTTTTATACTAGACACCATAAAATCGAGCCGGTCACCAGGTGACCAGGTCGGACACGGTCCTGGCCCAATTTCTTACCCACTTACCTACTGCCCAGAGTATCTCTAGCTCTAGATTTGTATAGAGACTGAAAGCGCTCTACCTTAGCCAAACTAACAACTAAATCATCGAGCATGCGTTCATAAACAAAGAGGAGTCGTACCACGCCCAGCCCCAGTTAACGGGGTGCGTGGGCCGGACGGTCTGCACCGCACGCCCAGCTCGACCTTCAGAGCCGACAACAAAATCATTATGACATCACGCGGCGTTGCACAAAACAGGAAAACCGAAACAAGCGAGTACTTCGCCAGGTTCAATGCAAATACATACTCTGCGTGGCGATGCACAAACTTTGCCTATATGAGTGACTGGGCCTGGAACTGGTCCAAAGTCAGGGGTGGCACCCCCCAGGACACAACACCACAAACCAATTAGCTGTGTGGTCAATACGGTCCCCTCCCTGCGTGGGGAGCCAACCACCCGCCAGGGATGAGGGAGGAGGGCGTCGCCCCTGGCTGGTTCAGCCGAGCTGTCCGGCAAATTAGGCCTCGAGGGACCATAAAACACCCCACCAGACAACTACGGTCATAACCGATGCATTTTCCATGATTCCGCTCCTACGCTCGATTCCGTCCAGAAGCAGCATGGTACCCATTAAAAATCATACACTTGCAAACAAAACGCAATGTGGATCCTTTTCCTGAAGTCATTGACCATGTTGCAGAGCAGTTGCTCATTCGTTTTACCTCATGACTAACGCTCTACCATATATCCCCAGTCCGTAAAGACCAGACACGTCTGCGTAGACTCCTGTCCACCCGGATCTGATCTCGAGCAGACAAAGACACCCTAAGCCCCACACGTGTCCTTTCTAAGCTGCACAGCGCATAACTGCGGGTCGGCAGGGGTCCGCGCCCGCAGCACCGCGACACGGAGGTGCACCAGACAGAGAGGCGCGCCCCGTGCAGCGCAGTTCTGAATAGGGGCCGGGATGACGTGTCTCCCCTTCGCTGTAGACGGGTCATACCCGCTGTATCATGAATTGCAGAGTTTAAAGGAACAGAACATGATTGAAATATGCAGGGAGGGGGAGAGTTAACACTGGAAAGATGCAGAGACGGATGGAAGCAGTGAAACTACGTGCGGCGTGAAACATAGACCGGATTTAAAGGGACACTCCCACCTTAACATTAGTTTTGAGTTGAGATAGCCAAATTGGTGGCCATGGCCTGAAAATACCGGTTTGGGCACTCACAACATCGACAAATGCTTTAAAGGAAACAGTCCACTTTCCTGAAATCAGTATTTTGCTATTGATTTATGATTTTTTATGCTCAAAATAATCATGAAATAAAATAAAACCTTTTTGTAAAAACAATTATTTTCTTTATTTTAATATAGGGCGAACTATATTCTATGTAAAATAATGTTTGACGCGGAAGCTTATTACGCATTGACCAATCATATTGCGTAGCTCAAACCTACGAATACTGCATTGGCTGTAAGCAGCACGCTGATTGGCTGACGATGACGTGGCTGCATTCCTGTGCAAGGCACGCATTCCTCTACAAGGCACTCTTTTCGGAACGAGAAATGGAATTTCTTCGTCTAGGGTGATCGTTGAGCCGTAAAAGCTCCTGATTTGTGCTAGTCTCAGCTCAAGCTACGAAACTGCTATTCCAGCTCAAAACCCCATGTTAAAAGTGAACTATTTCCTTTAATTCGGAGATATGGAATTTCAAACTTGCAGTTTTCGGATTCTAAGGGGCTAGTGCATTGGTATGCCCCCTTAGAATTTGTGACGTCAGCGGAGATCTAACGATTTTTAAATCTTTTACTAAAACGTTTGGTAGCACGCGGTGGTATATGCTGCTTTGCGCGCAACAAATGCCGCACTTTCAAATAAAGTCGCTAGGAACAGCGGAGATCCCAAAAAGTAAACAAAAGTAAAAGTCTAATATCTTGAAAACCGGTGAATATTTTTCGATGAAATTTGGTAGATATTCGTTTTCGCTCTTTCTGAACCGAGCGACATCACTTTCGTGCCAATTCATTAACTTTTTTGAAGGTGGGAGGGTCCCTTTAACATGGATCGGGACGAAGTGGCTGTCGAGCGGCAATGTGAAGCGAAGCGAAACAAAACGCTCAGGGACTTTAAATGGCCGGCGAATTGAGACGGAAATGTTCAGTCAAGTACGGCAAATCGTCCATTGAGCCGAAATGACCAACGAATTGTATCAAAACGGCCAGGAAGCGCGGCAAAATGACCACAGAACGGTCGGCGTGCCGGAAACATCAGCGCCGCGGGCTGGCTGCGCGGAGCGGTCCCGACTCGCTCCGTTCCCCGGCGCGGACAAAGGCCTCCGCGGTAGCTGAGCCCACCGGCCGGCCGCCGACCATGAAACTGTAACCGTTTTGGGCCGCTTTTTTACCGCCCTGACGAACCACCTGGGGAGGAAATCGGCCGATCTTTGATCCCCGGGTCACAGCGGCACACTCCCGGCGCCCTCAGATGCAAATGAGGTGCGGCGGTCGTACAGAAAGCCCGCCGCGTGCCGCTTTGTTTCACTGCATCCGCGTCCGGCTTTGTGGCGCAGTTTCGGACCGAGGTGGCCATTTAAACTCCCCCGAGGGAGGCACGCCGCTGAGATGCATAATGCATCAGACCGGAGCCGTTTATCAGTGGGGAGGCGCCCCAGCTGCCGGCAGGGGCATCACCTGCCGTTTGGGCGCCTCCCGCCGCGTCCCCTCCCGAGACTCGTCACCTGGTGCTCGCTGCTCGCCAGTTCGAGCTCGCTGTGAGCGCCAGACACGCGCTGAGGTGGCGACCGTCGCGACCACCTGCCGCCGGCGTCACCCGACCATCACCTGCCCGACGCCGGTCGGAGAAGTGCCGCACGAGCCAACCGGTCGGCCGGTACCGGCGTCTTTAAACGACTGGTGTCGCCAGGGACGGATGGATTTTCGAACGAAGGTAGATATAGTAGTGAGGCTAGGAGAGCAACCATTCTAAACCCCATCACACCTGGCTTTAAAAACCACACCGGCGTTTAACAGAGCAGAACAGCGGTGAATGGCACGATAAACCCCTGCAGCTGGCCCCTCCGCAGCTGCCGGTCCCCCCGCGGTCCGTACAGGATGTCTGGCGACCCCGGCGACCTTGACAACTCCTCCCTGCCGCCGCGGCAGACGCTAATCTCAGCGGCAATCCCTTCCTCCCCTGGCACCGCGCTCTGCAGGCTAAACCCTTCTGCAGTCTGACCGCCGCGCCGCGCCGATATAGCTGAGCCGTTAAGAGGGAACATTCGAGTCAGAGGGAGAGGCAGTCTGGCTGCCGGAGCTCCATGAAGGGAAGGGGTGAGCCAATGGGATCTGGTTTTGCAGTGAGTGAAGCTGGCATGAGTGGCCGATGGGATGGGCCGATGGGATGGGACCATGGGATTGGACGATGGGATGGACCGATGGGATTGGCCGATTTGTCAGTCAGACCGACGGGATGGGCCGATGGGATGGCCGGCGGGCAGATGGGATGGGCCAATGGGATGGGCCAGCGGGCCAGCCGGAGAGTCCATCGCTCCGGCCTCCGGCGGTGGGCGGACTGGTCCGACTTGCACCGTCACCGCCGCGGCCAACGGACGCCGGCCGACACGGCGGACCGTAGCATGTAGAGAACGCCGCGCGCACGAACAAAACCTGTCGTTTAATGGTCCTTTTAAATGACGGCGTTTAAAACCCGTGATGGGACGCGATGTGATATGCGATACGATGGATGTGGTTGTAGCTTGACCGTCTCCAAAGACAATTTTACGCAATAAAGTTGTTTCACCGGTTTGCAATTAAAGCTAAAAATGAGAAGACAAAAGATGTAAGTCCGGTACTCACCGCCCGCTGAGCGGGAACTGCCGGTCGAAGGAGTTGATCTCTGTCCGGCTGTGGCGCTGGGCGAGCCGGTCGAACAGGGCTAGGACCGTCTGTCCGGGCGAGGAGGCGTCCTGTCGCCGTCGGACCCGCGGCGACTCCTCCTCCGTCGCTCGCCCGACCCGCGCCGATCCCGACGAGAACTTGTCGTAGAGGGTGTCGAAGTCGGTGAGCCGCTCGATGGCCGACTGGGGCGCCCGGGAGTGGTCGTCCGAGTACACCTCGGGCCGCTCGTGGTCGTCACTGACCACACAGTAGCGCGTGCCGAACCCCAGCGTCGAGAGCACGGAGTTCATGGTTGAGGTGTGTGATGAGGGTAGCGGACACGCGCCTCGGAGCTGCTGACTGGTCGGGAACTGACCGGCTGAGCTGGGCGGAGCCGCCGCCGGCGAGCACACCTGGCGACCGGCCCGACATCTGTCGGCAGGCGCTGAAAGCGTCACTGTAGTGGCATCTGGCGGTGAGCTGTCCAACCTTGGCTTCTCTGGGAGCGGCTAATCATCACTGACCAGGGCGACACCTAGCGGCTACTGGCGGAGTTGGCTTGCCACGGCCAATGACCGATTCGCTGGCATTCACATCCGATGTCTTCCTCCCATCCTATTCAGCTCAGCCTTCAAGGAATATATGGTAGCCATCATTCAGGCCACTGAGGGATCAGCGAATCTCTCAAACACTTGCAACTTCCAAGCGATGCGTAAAGAACTAGGATTGGATGACCGATGAGGCGAGGAAACTAGCGAATTAACTACAGTTTGTGCACAGGATACCGGGGAATTACCAGAATTGCATGCCCTCAAATCTTTGAAAATTACCCATTCAAATCTGCACATCTATGTTCACTATACAAGAAGAAAATATGCACGCATTATTCACTCTGACATGCATCTGACGTCACCCGCATGAAAATCAGCGAATAGACTTCCCGTGGCAAGGAGGACAAGCATTAACTATTAATTGCGAGCCTCGACACCAGGTGGCAGCGGAGCAGCACACCTCAGGCTAGTGCGGCACGCCTCAGCACCACTCCTCGGGCTCTTTCCCTCTAGATTCAACATCCCAAAATTCCTACACTCATTGTGTTTTCTATTCAATATCAAGATGAAACACAGCTCCATGGAGTAGCGAAATGCAAATGCCAGGTCTAGTAACCTAATGACATTATCTCATAATTGCCCAACGGTTACACTCGGGGCACAGCAACCAAGGTACCTTATACCATATGTATACACTGAATTTAATGTTATCGACAATTGGTGCATCGTTGAGGTTGTTTCACGGGAAAGGGTCCTAAAATCAAACAGACGCATAACTCCTCAACAGTCAAGCAAGCGGAAAAGATCGACGCTGGCATCTTAGCCCTTGCCTGACACCTCCTTGAAACATTTTACGTCGCTTCTCTTAACAAAAAGTACCTACCTATGATCCGCCTTTTCACGTCAGCACTGAGCACGATCAACACACCACGCACGAATCTTTTTGAACCCCAACAAAGATGGCCCATCGCACTGAGAAAGGTCAACATTCTTGGGCTCGATGGTCTCTCCCTCGACGCTCGACAGCCTCACGGCGCTGTCGACCCTGAGACGACCCGACCTGTGTCTGGTTGTAACCGATCGAGTGCGGCCCTCACGCGTAGAGCCGGGTGCGGCTGATGACCAGCGGAGGACACCGGTCGTCGGGGGGCACGCTGCTCTGGACCAGTCGGAACCAGCGGCTCAGGTGCGGGTACGCCTCTCGCTCCTGGTGCGATAGTCGAGACTGGGAACGCAGAGAGGGAGAGTGGAGACATTATAGTGAAAACTGAGCAGCAATTTCTGAGAAATGCCTAAAATTGTTAGTAACGATTATTGCAGTAAGTAGGTAGCTGCAGACACAACACAAACTGGATTACTCTCTCCTGACTAGTGACTTGACATGACCTTTCATTTACTGATGGATATCAAGCCTACAGGCAATGAAAAATGGTTCACATTATTAGCAAAACTTTATGTCTAAAACCTGCTCTCCCCCCAAACTGCTTACCAGTGGCGAATGGATAAGTTTGAACACGTCTGTGTCAATGGAGGTGGCTTCTGTTCCAACCAAATAGGTCTTGTCTGCCAGCCAGTTGTCCACGTGCTGTGAAGAAAAAGTCATCAGCAAAACTGGGGCAGCTGCATCAGGGAATTAGTCAGGACCAGGTCTACAGAACTCGGAAGTCCCAGGCCAGGACCATGGCCTGGGATGGTCATGGGCCAAAACACACAGCCATGGTCTAGGCAATGCAACTAAGACACAAGAGACACTACAATGGCAATCCCCAAATCACCATCATATGCAATGTTTATTGCACTTTATATTTAAAAAGAGCAATTAACTCGGTGGTGTGAACAGGCAAGTCGGAATGCAATTATTCAGCAGCTGCATTCACACCTTTATTTAAACTTAAGTATATTCAATGGCATTAACAGGATACATGCAACTTTATGCATTATAACAATTTCTTTTATTTGATGGATGAATGCTGAAATGCTTGGAAAAAGGCATGAAATATAGGGTTTACCACACACCTTTAATGCAGCTTCAGGTGGAGCAGAGGCATTTCGCAAGAAAAGCTCGGTAAACTCTCTCCATTGCCATTTCTGAGAATTCAACAATGCCTCCTTAGTCATGATCGTAAGACAATTCCCTTGTCACTTTGGCCTATATAGGTATCACGCAGTTCTCTATATACCGTGTATCACGCTTGTGATAAATACCAGGGGGCTGTCATCCCGAGCTTTCCTATGTGCCGGGCGCCCGACTGTTTAACATTACCCGTGACGTCACGGGGGCGTACACTTGTCAGCTGGCCTTCCCCGCAAGTTTGGCCTTGAATACGATTTTGAGGGTCACGATTGTAAACAAGTTCCTTTCCGGAAACGTTCCGGAAACGCTGGAAACGTTGTCATCCTTTTATTTTCCGGAAATTGCTTCATTACTAATTTGCGCCTAAAATCACTTTAACCCTCGCCGGCACAGGGGGGGGGGGGGTTGATGCAACCCCCTTAAGGTTTTTCGCGAAATAACTCGCGTAAAAAGCGGCCGTTCGCGACGAAACTTTCAGTACCTTTGCATTGATAAATTGTACACCTACCCTGAAAATTTCATGACCCTGACCCAAATGACCTTTGACCTGTGACGTACTTTCCGAGACCATGTTTGGCCGGAATCGCGATTCGGCGTATGTCGGCTCGCATTAGCCGCGCGTTTGCAAGCTTTTCGTGGTTTCAAACGTTCAAACATGTGATTTGATGTTGCTCCCATGCATTAGGGTGGATGTTAAGGTCACCTAAAGGTCAGGTCAGGTCATTGACCTTTGGTGACCCTGTGTTCACTTTTTCGAGTTTTACATGTTTCCAGGCTAGTTTTTGGAGCTGATTTCGAATTTAGCAACCATTTGAACATTTACGAAGTAGTTTTGGTGCCTTCCTAACATGTTACGAAGCTGTCAGAGGCGGTTGACACGTATTACGAATACCCGTCACGACCCCTACCGGTTGACCTGACCTGACCTGGTCTAAATGCTTAAAGACATCATCTCTGATCAAAACTAACACGATATTAGTGATCAGGACCCCGGAGAACTCCATAGCAGCCACACTTTACGACTTTCTAACAGGTCCCGATTTTCCCGATTTTCGGGTCATTGACCTGACCGGTCACCCGATGACCTAGGATCTTAAAATTGGATATCATCGGCTTCATCTCGTGACGGGCAGCACGCTCGTTTTTCCACGAAGCTCTAGCTCAATCAGGGGCCAAACGCGAGGGGGGTCGTACCAACCCCCCCCCCTCTTGTGCCGTCGAATGACGCAAAATGGCCTGTGCCGGCGAGGGTTAAGCATAGGCTACTTAACGCTTTCCTAATTGTAAAGTGTTGCATTGTCTGCATGGTGAGGAGAACGCTGACCGGTCAGAAGGGCGATGTGTTGTGAGGAGGGCGCCGACAGGTCAGGACTAGGAGGGCGCTGTACGATGAACGGCGACGCTGACTGGTCGGGAGGGCGATGCATGGTGATGAGGGCGCTATGCGTTGCAAAAGGCGCAGGCTGGTCAGGAGGGCGCTGAACGCGAAGATGTCGCCGACAGGCGAGGAGGGCGCTGACAGGTCAGGAGGGCACTGCACGGTGATAAGGGCTGCGACAGATCTGGAGAACGCTGTCCGTGAAGAGGGCGCCGACAAGGCAGCAGGGCGCTGTATGGTGGGGAGAGCGCCGACAGGTCATGAGGGCGCCCATGGTGAGGACTGAGGAGGATGCTGTACGATGAGAAGGGCACTATACGAGTGAAGAGGGCGCTGACAGGTCAGGAGGACACTGTATAAAGAGGAGGGCGCAGACAAGGTAAGGAAGGCGATGTACGGTCAGGAGGGCGCCGACAGATCAGGAGGGCCGTCTACGGTGAAAAGGGCACCGACTTATCAGGAGGGCGCTGAACGTAGAGGGCGCCGGTCTGGAGGGCTTTGTATGGTTAGGAGGCCGCTATACAGTGAGGAGGATGGCGACAGGTCAGGAGGGCACTGTACGGTGAGGAGGGCGCTATAATACGATAGACGCTGCCAGGTCAGGAGGGCGCTGACAAGTGTGGAGGGCGAGACAGATCAGGAGAATGCTGTGTGATAATGTCCATGAGGGCGCTAACTGGTCTGCCCGGAGGGCGTCGAATGTGAAGAGGGTGCCGACAGGCCAGGAGAGCGTTGAAGGGCGAGAAGGGCGCCGACAGATCAGAAGGGCGCCGAGCAGACAGAACGGCGCTGAAGGTGAGCCGAGGGCGCTAGATGGTCAGGAGATTGGGAGTGGATATCCGGCATTTCAGGATTGTGGGTGCATCTTCACCCTCAAAGAGATATAAAATTGTAAATCTGGGCGCCAGTACCGCATGATGACGCCGCAATGGCTTACCGTCGAGGGTGACTAGAGTTCTGGACACTGAAAAGGCGCCATCGGCGCACAGAATGATCGTGGAAGGCGCAATCCAGGGCGCCTTCGGCGCCATGGATGGCGTCTTTCCAGATGGCGCCTGCTAGACTTGGGAGGGGCTAAAGCCCAGTGTGCCCCTCCCCCCTTGGCTGCGTCCCCGAGTCCTTTGTCTAGCGATTTTCGAAGTATGTATCGCGTCCGTAGGGGCCTTGGGAGCTGCCGGTGACCACAGGGGCCTTATAAGGCCCCTGATGACTCGGGACCCGTAGGCTACGGGTCCCGAGTCATGTGGGCCATATCACCACAGGGCACCGCATCTTTTTCGAGATAAATGACCGTTCTGAAGCGTGTCGCATTTTCCTGAGCATGATCTGGCGTTTACATAATATTAAGCGCCTGACGCAGACGGCCCCTCTCCTGTCTGCGGCTGACAGCTTACTGACAAGCCACCTGGCGATCGCCAGCTCAACCCTAATTACCACGTTGTCCGCTAGGTGGCGGGGTCATACAATCCCAGTCAGGACAAGGGATTCTCATAATTATTATGCTATCATATTTCCCCCTTTTTAAAGTAATTTAAAAGCGCTATTGCACCAGTAATTTTTCGATTATCAGCGATTCCAGCCACCGCATCAGGGTCCGGATGGAGTCAGGGAGCGTATGCCCCGGTGACGTCACCGTAGTGTTGCAGATTTGTAACATTAGCGAGCCCGGACGATCTTACCTAACTTATACGGCCTTGATAAATACCGAGCCACTAACGGTTTATCAACATGACGGCCAAGTGACGACAAACCTTGCGCAGCTGCGACAAGAAAAAGTGTTTTCGTAGACGGCCATTTGCGAGTACAAGCAGATTTGATGACGACTAAATCCAATAAAGAAATTTGATTGGTTCTCATTTTCCGCGTACTTTCCGTTGATTCGTTGAGAGGATTTTGCTGATGAAAGCTAGCACATAGCTGAATACCCACTCTGCCAAGAGGGCGAATGATCGTAATGATCTTTGGCTGCAGGGGCCGCCGCGGATCACTGTGCTGGAACGAGGTCGACGGTGCGGTCACGTCAGGCCGGGGGAAAATACGGTGAGAACCCCGAACCCGCTTCGATTTTGAGGTTTGAGTGAATGTCTGTTTCCTATGTTCTCACGCATTCTAGGTCACTGGCTTGATGGATAGTAGATCTATCAAGCGTCTGTAAGTGGGGCGCAATCGAAGCGCTTCGACTTCAACTTTGGTATAGGATGATATCACATCAGATTTATCCTTTCCATGGTTGCTGATCAATCAGACCTATATCTTATTGGAAGTGTGAGATGTGGAATGAGTAGGGTATGTGTAGTAGTGACCATTGAAGTGACTGAAAGCCTCAGAAGCTTCAATTTTTTATTGCTCAATCCTCTTGCATTCTGACCTAGGTGGGGAGTGAAGGTGAGATGAAATAATTGCCAAAATTAATGGCTGGAGTTGATTTGGTTCTGCCTTATGAACAGTGCTAAAATCGGGTTTCATCTCCCCCCCCCATACCACCCAGAGGCTACGGACAATCGCATCGGACAGCGAAGAAAGTGCAGTCGTGTTTTTATCGACTCCTCCATCATTGGTCCTGGCATTCATCGTAACCGAGTCCCAGAGAACTCTTCCTAATTAAAATTGAGGTAGGTTAGCTCGATCGTCGGTCTGGCTCCGCTCTAGTCCTACATACACCTCCCAGCCTCGGGGCATGGGAATGTTATCGCAGTGCCGGTTGTTGCGCAAGTCACCGTGATGGTGCAGTAGTCCGCCCTCTCGGCACCTGGCTCACGGACGGTGACCGTCCATGCGATGGCCCGGCGATCGAGTTTGCCCGTCACGCCAGATAGGATCGACAGTAGACGCACGGAGGTGACGTGACGAGGCTGCCCTCGAAGCAGGGACTGGGCCGGCCGACGGCTGGTTCTGGGCAGGGTATATAGAACAACGTTCTGGGTAACCGGAGGGATGGTGGGAGCTGAGAGACAGAGCCGCTGAAGAACCTACCCCAGTTCTTCTGTCGATCGTTATTTAGCCGGTGGACCGTGGAACCAATAGGCATTCAATAGTCATGTATTTACCAAAGCATTGTTGATTGGAACTTATTACCTTTCACTGTACTGTGGATGATAAAGTGGTCTCCTCGCGCGCTGCACGACCCGCACGACCCACGTCCCACAAGCTAAACCACGCCTTGCTCAACATTCCTTGCCCATACTAGCACCCCAGTTTGTCCTTGTGAGTGATGATGCCCGTTCTCTGCGGTTACGTTCGTCCCATGTTTTCGACGCCACCCGCCGAGACGCCCAGCCATCACGCGCAGCCGCGGAAAATCGGTTTTCGTTTCAGTTATAGGCCTGGAAACTGGGTTGCTCACTCATCCTTAGCCGAACGCCGTTTCTAGTCGTTACCATGGGAGCCAATATCAATTATATCAACTGCGAGATGTTACGGCCCGTGCGCTGTGAAGACTGGCTGTGGAGGAAGGTCCATGACTGAAAATTGATCGATTGTGAAACTGTTACATCATGTCCGACTGCGTGGTCGCCGGGCCCGTCTATTTTATAGTTGCTGTGAGGGTAGTTGGTGCTTATTAATGTCTCATTAGGCGGGGTGCCTGAGGCCTAGCGAAGGCGAAACTGCATCGAGCTGCTCGCTGGTGAATTTCAATCACGTTCAGATTCTCGCGGAGTATGTAATCGTGGTCATCATGATAGAACGTTTACCGTGTGCTCGCCCTAAATTATGTTCCGTTTTGTTTTATAGCATATCGCTGGGTGATAAAGAATGGTCGCAGTTTGTCTTTACGGTAAAACTGTCAGTGATAAACTGTAAATTCAGACGCCTCAATGAACTAACGATAATTCACCCTCCGTTGCAGGTCAGCATTCGCAGCAAAGCAGTAATCTCCGCAGCATAACCGACCATGTCTGAAAAGTAAGTGTTCACCTCCTGTCGATATGACGCGTCATTAACACGGATCTGGAGCGATTATGAAACTGCTCACGAGTCGAGGGGCGGCGATTACGATTGATTACGATCGCCGACTGCCGTCCTTTCTCTCGGCTGACGGCCGGGCTGAATTTCTCCTCGGGAGGGTACTGGAGTGACCGTAGGGGTTCTGAGACCGGTTCGCTGTTCATGGGCGAGCCACTGGCGTTATGATCCTGGAATTGAGGAATGGTGTCTATGAACGCTGATTGCTGGCGTTACTCTTTTGATTCCGCCTGTCATGGGCTTTTATTGGATAAGCGCGCATTGGCTTTATCATTCGTTGTTTTGACAACACAGCTTTGGTCATATCGTGCTCGACAGTCGGCTAATTTTGGGATGCCTAAATGGGGACAACTTCTGCTGTCCATATCAGCCATGTCATGGCATTCTCATCCCGTCGTCAGCCTTTAACGGCCGCAGAACCCTGCACACCGGACTGACCTAACAAGTAACACATGTATTTCTCGCACCGCCCCGCCCCTCCAGCCACCCCGCCCCACCCTCATATACCAGCTGGCAGTCAGGAGGGAGTGTCTAGCGGGGAGGGAGGAGGGGAGAGGGAGGGGAAATCGGGTCGGGTCGGGTAGTGGCCGCTCTCGGCTGCCGCTCTAGAAAGCGGCGCTGACCACCGCCCTACCCGCGGCGGCGGTGGGCCGAGGTTGGCACCCCTGCCTCCCTCAGAGATCGCGACGCTCGTAGGAACCGCTCAGGAGCCTGGTGGTAGCCATTGGAAAGGGGGCGTCGCTGAAGAGTCAGAAAGTCCGTAATGAAACGCGATAGAGCATGGATTGTAACTGAGAATCTGGGATGAGCAGGCTTCTCATGGTGCGACTCCATGAGAGCAATGTGCTTTCGGATTTTGCCACCTGATGGCTAAATTCGAAAGGGCTTTGAATTGGCCTGATGATTTAGATTGCATGTCATAGGAATAATGACTGGAGATTAGGCTAAGTGCGCAATGGACAACAGTGCGACCGTATGTCCATTGTGTATGTCCATTAACTCTCACTTCTCCGGTCAGAAACGAGCGATGAAAGTGCCGTCATGTACACACCTTATGGGCCATTAGTCGACCTCTTGGCGAATAAAACTATCTGAGGCTGCACTGTTTGGACGCAGAGTGTCTTTGTTCCTACCAGCCATCTCTGGTGCGAGCTCCCCGGCAGAAATGTGACGAAACTGCTCCGGGCAGTTAGGAGCGCCGCGTTACCGTGACCTCACGGGGAAAGTGTACGTCACGCCGTGACGCTGGCACTCTGTCTGTATGTCTGTCTGTCTGTGTGGCGTCACCGCCCGCTTTTACAGTCCCGTAGGCGCAGACACTGGCGATGTATTGCAACACTGCAAACCATGGGCGACGATCACAGATGGGTTGTTTTCGACCACTGCCGATGGTGTGGAGGAATTCACAGCGATCTCTGCCATATCGCAGTGCCTGCATGTAATCCCGCAGCAGGAAACCGGCATGATCAGTGCTGTGAGCTGCGATGTCTGCCTCCCCCCCCCCCCCCCTGTGTGATAGCCGGAATGTGGTAAATGCCTACTAGTGATGCAAATTTTGAAAATGGGCTCGATATCTCAGAAAGCTGAGGTAGGTTTTATAATAGAGGCCGGAGCTTGGTAATGATGTTTTCGGTTAGAATGGATAGCCTGGCCACGTGACTCAGGACTTCAAAAATTGCTACAGGCTTAACACCTTCGGAAGCTTCATTGCCGAACTCCTGCCGAATTATGTTTTCACGAAGAAGTAAGTATCTCAATCGCATGTCTAGTGTCTACTTACACCGGACAATCCAGACCTCGCTACCCAGGCAAACCGGTGCGCTTATGACGCACTGGGGAATTTGGATGCGTCACATCTGCTCATAACGTCTCTTCTGTTTGCTGAATACTATTCGGTGCTGTGATGAGCAGTGCGACCATTTTCAGACGGCGCACAGGGCCATAGTTCGTTAAGAATACCTGTTGCCGTCAACGCATGAGATGTGGCTATGGAATCATCCAAACCTTTAACTTGATTGTGAAAGCCGTATTTTAACGAGCTGAGGCGCTCGTTTTTAGTTCCAGAAGGAATATATCACTCCACTGATCACCTAGCTACTGAACCAGCTCTGGGGTATGAATGAGTGGTATGTAAATGATATCGTTTTAACGAGGTGGCCCGTGTGGGCCGAACTGGCGACACCGGAGGGTGGTGCAGTTCGCTGCTCCTCTGATTAACACCGTCGGTGACCTGACCTCAAAGGAACCGGACGGCGGCGGTAAACCCGGCGCGGGAGGCGCATACCACCCCGTCGGCCGGGATGGTTTTTATCGGGCTGCCGGAGCGGGCAGGAGAGAGAATGTTTAATCAAGCGGCCTGGCCGGCTCGTCTGCTCGACTGAGTTAGATGGCCTTGGACTGAGTTACCTGTCCGGCTGTGCTGTCATGAGATTCAGCTCGTAGCTTCCATGGGTGACCAGTGGTGGCGGGTCTGCGTGTTGGACGGCAGGGGAGATCTAGACCGGGGACCTCTGAGACACGCAGTCGAGAGACCCAGCAGTGTGTCCGCAGTTAGAGACGGGGATGTGTCGCCCACCCGCCGGGATGCCGCCGGAGCCGGGAAGGTTTACTGGGGAGATAGGTATCCGAACAAGGGCTGGGGCAATTCAGGCATGGTTTGGTAACAGGAGACGTCGACAATATCAGTGTTCACTGTTCAGGTGTAGCAAAAACAATGTACTATAGCTGTAGTTGCTGGGCAGCAGACTTCCTCACTTCGATTTCCTTTTTTATCTGCTCGAAAACATTGTCATTTTGTTTGTCCCTTATGTTGCATCCATCTCCATGGTAATCATAACTGGATAATTACCACTATCGCACAACACTCTTGCCGGCTGCTGCCAATAAGGGTAATGTCAGCGATGCCAATGGGGATTCGCCAAAGCGGTCATTGCCCCTGGACCCCCTCCACCGCCGACGCCGCCACCACACGTTCCAGGTATCATCGATCGAAGTGCCCCGCCCCTCCCCATCCACCGCCTTTGTTGTGCTGGATTAGCATCGATATGCCAACAGTGAATCGTCGTCGGGCATACCTGGGCTGAACGCCAGTAGAGCTCTGCTGTCTATAGGAGGACCTGTGCCCGGTCACAGACGGACAGTGACGGGGAGTCTTGACTCGCTCGGTGGTGACGGAGGCGGTTGGAGCGGTGTTTGAGGGAATTGTTTGTGGAGTTGTGACCTTGGCTGGATGACGGCGAGGGCGTGCTAAGTGGACACAAGGAGTGGCATGTCATTGTGGACGGTATACAGTGGGGGAACCTCGCCTGCAAGGTGACTCTAGAAGACTGGTCCGCGTCGGTGTAGCTAGGCCTACGGCATATATCTGCAATCTGCATGATGTGTGGAATAATGAAGCAGTGGCGGTATTACGAGAGCTTGGATGTGGAGGACGGTCTCCGCGCTCGTTTGTAACCGTGCGAATTGATCGCCGCATTCCTGTCCCCTCCGAGTGACCAGCCCGCCTCGTCTGCCCACCACCGGCCGTGGACCAAAGCCACCGTGTTCCGGTGTTTACTGCCGCCGTGCAGCGGGCCGGACAAATTAGAGTGGCCACTTTCTCCGCGGCGTGTGCACGGGGACGCGGCCAAGCGTGGCAGCCCCACGGCCCGGCGCCGCTCCGGCTGTCCGCGACTCAGTGCCGACTGTCCGCGCCGTGGCTCCGCCCGGCTCCTGGCTCCCCGGGGCTCCGTCTGGCTCCGTGTGTGTGTGATTTAGCTCCCGTTGGCTCGGCTCCGTCCGGTGCGTTTGGTGTAGTGGTTGATTGCCGCTGGTGTGACCTCTGGTGACCTCGGACGGTGGCCGTGACAGCTCGTTGAGAGCGGCGAGTGGCGTCAGTACAGATAACTGGCTGGTCTAATAGTGCAACTTCTGGATTCCCAGCATGGGTAATGTCATCTCCTGCAAGCGGAAGCCGTCGACGGTGTTGGCGCCGGCCACGTGAGTTCCCGTAGCGAGGTGGAGCTGGGCTGGCCGGCCTGAGAAGGGGAGCGGAACGCGGCCCGTGCTTCCCCGCGCTGTTCTAACTCCGCCGGACATGTGGCGTGTCTGGGTCGGGGTATTGTGTCTTGTTACACAATCGCAGGCACCTGTGAGCTTTCGTGATACGGGGATGTCCCGAGTTCTGAGCATATACCTATTGTGTTGTGATTCTGGATACCTACCATGCAAAGGTCAGGACTGAAATCCGGTTTTGGTCTGAAAAGTGCGACTCGTTTCATATTAGCCTGATGTGATTTGGTAACCTATACCCGTTGACCCCCGCCCCCTCCACGGCAATCCAGCCTGTCACCCGGGTATGTACCGTTTACGTTTTGACTGCTGACGTGGTACTCGACACAGCAGGAAGGGGAGGAAGGATTGACCTGGTAACACCGCCTGTCTGGTGGGCCGATGACGTGTCATGAGTGATCACCCAATCAGCGTTTAGGGCAGGCCGGAGACCGTCGGGTCAGCACGTTTTGTGATGAGTCGGTCGGCGACAGGGTCCAGGCAAAAACGGAGACGGTCAGTTAAACCGTGGCAGACCAGTTATTTGCTGTTTACGGTCGATGAGTTAGCGACAGACGGGGTAAAACGGTATCTGACGCAAGCTCGTCTGGCCAACTGACCTGTTCCCAAATGAATAGGCCAAAATCGTCCGGTAATATCAATGGCGACATCTATGTATGGTGTGGCTAGAACACCTTTCAAAGTTCGGTTCGTTGATTTGAAGCTTGCTCGTTTTGTCTGATCTTATGACCCATGACTTTGTGGATACTGAAACATGGATAAAAAACAATAGATAATTTAATGGTATGAGGCACTTGTAATGTTTGAGTGACCGAATGTACGACTGCAAGTTTAGCTAGCCATGTTGAGTGGACATCGCCATGCACACGACCCACCTCTTTCGACGATCCTCTGTTTTCGTTATAAAATATTGTCCATCGGCGGTACCGCCCCAGCTCCCGACTAACTCGCCCCTCCCCCCTCTCCCCTCAGGGCGGACATCGCTCTGATCGGTCTGGCCGTGATGGGCCAGAACATCATCCTCAACATGAACGACCACGGCTTCGTCGTGTGCGCCTACAACCGCACAGTGGCCAAGGTGGACCAGTTCCTGGCCAACGAGGCCAAGGGCACCAACATCATCGGCGCCCACAGCATGAAGGAGATGGTTGACTCACTGAAGAAGCCGCGACGCGTCATGATGCTCGTCAAAGGTGGGTGGGAACCAGATGAACGCGCCTGGGTCGAGCGGGAGCGTTTAGAAGCTGTTGACTAATGACTGTGACGAAACACTACTACTCACTATAAGAACACCACTACTCACTATGGTAGTGAGTAGTGGAGTGGTGTTTGGTAGTGGTGGTGACGGAGGATTCTGACGGTTTCAGATTTAGCCTTCGTTGGTTCGTTGGATCTGTGATAAATAACATCAGTTGCCTTGAGCGTGCCATGCCGGGCGGCAAACTATCCAGTTTCTGTGGATTGATGACTGCTTTATGGACTACCGCGGCTAATTTCGACAGAACCTATCTATGGGTGCGAGGTTGATTGATGGATCTGTGTGTGGGCATTGAGGGCATATATGGCGCAAGCTCATCAAACTCGCACGAGCGATACAGGTGCCTTATTTTCATCAAACTCGCACGAGCGATACAGGTGCCTTATTTTGTCTGATATAACACTTATGTTCTCTTGTTTGTCCATTTATTCACAGTAACGTTTCATGTACGTAATGAGTGCATTGCCAGATTTATTCTCATTTGCACTCCGCAACACATTTAAGTGCAAGAAAAATGCGCAACTGCTTTCCTCTGCCCGTCGCTGGACGCTCCTCCCTGACCTTGCCTAAGCCATGCCTGCCCGAGCCACCAGCAACGTCCACCTCGAACGTGACAAACATCCTCTTTCACCTCCAATTGGTGGATTCCGTCAGCTGTGACGCTCGCTTTCTTCGCTGGCTGTGGCGGCCACTTTCCACCTGCTGCTACTAGTCCACGCCGCGATAATTCGATGACTACCTACCGCTGGCTGTCGTCACCCCCTCGAGCGATGACGGCGGTCACGCCGGTGGGGGTGATGACGGCGGTAGCGGTGGCCGACGGACTCGTGGGACAGCTTTAGGTGGGTTGGTGGTGTGATGGTGGTCAGTTGGTCACGGAACTGAGACGTGTTCTCCGCCGCGCTGGACCCATGGCAACCACATGCCGTTCACGGTTTGGGGTTGTGACGGACGGCTAAGGCAGTGTTTATGTTAGCTCCGGGCGGCCAGAGTCAGCGTCATAGCTGATAGCATCGTCAGTTACATCCATGACCATTTTTAAACTGTTGTGTCTTTTCCCATACTGCCCAAACTTTTCCACTCTGAAGACAGGAAAACAGACAAACAGGCACACAGAAGGAGTTATCCAGAATGAAGGGAGAGTATCCAGACAGGCACGAGCATGAGCCAGATGCGACCAAAGCTGTAACTCCAACGTAACCCGACCGTCTGTCGCCGACGCTCGCTCCTCCTGCCTCCGCCGGATCCTGAGTCACCCCGGGTCATGAGTGACTGTTTTGACCTCTGCACCCGAGGTCACGACCTTACTGCACTGTTTCGGTTCCATTGAGGGTTGCCAAGGTGTCTTTCAATCGCGAGGCGCTTATAGTCACACATGTATCATCTGGTCTTCTCACACTGTTCCATACCTGTTCACATCATAACTCATTCGCCGCTTGCAAGCGGCCACAAGCACGCTGGTTTTTCGCATGTTGGCGCTATGGTCGCCCTTTTTCACGCCGTGGTTTTACTTTTTCTGCTCATGATTATTCACTCGTTCAACAGGCGTGTCGCTTCAGTGCTACGTTGATCTCATTTGAGTGTAAGTAGACTGCAGACTGACTAGGTCAATTTCGATGTCGAAGGATTAAATCCCCGGGAAAAATTGGATCGTGTGGCATTGTCTGCTACCTTTTTTAGCTCTCTACCTTTATACCCACCAGTTTCCTCGGGAGTTGTGTTTTGTGGCATTGCTGCATCTGCATTCAGTGAGCCATGTGATCACTTTCACAGCTGCTGGCTAGGCTAACTTTGGAAAGCGTCCAACAGCCGCCTACCCACTACCTTGCAACAGCTGAGTACTCTAATGGACCCATCCAAGGCCCCAGAATGGCCACATATAGTCTACACTCGGTCTCCGTAGCTGTCATTGTGATCGAACACAGGTGGTTTGCGGCTCCCCGATGCCCGTCAGTCTCGGGCGCGCTCACTGCACAGTTTGTGGTGACTTTCTCTCCGTCGTCACTCGTTTGTGGGTACAGATGCATGGCGTCACGGCGCCGCGCGCGTCACGGTCGTGACGGTCCGTCAGGGGGGCTCGTGATGCCGTGACGCCGCCTGTGACGGCGGACCGTTACTGTGTCACGAGAGTGGCGGGCTCGGGCGGGTTTCTCCTGTTGCGCTGTCGTTCTGTGGCCTTGAGCTCGGTGGCGTGTGTTGCGGGAACGGTAATTAGTGTTTGTCTCAGTTCCCTGGTTTTCCGACAATTGACGTATTATTGATCGAATGCGAGGGTCCATATTCTCCTGTTTTGCAAACACTCATCATTATGTCATGTCGTGCATTTCTTTTTGCGTGTTTTAATTAGCTGAAGTCACCGAAGCTGGGTGACGTACTCTGCCGGGATGTTACCTCAAAAGAAGATCAGTCACGATTCACGACTAGTCTGCCAACATTGCCGTGAAGCTGGTGTGGAGCCGTGGACGGGCGGACCGGTAACGCTCTGTGGTCGGCCCGGTCCGGCCCGGCGCGAGAGGCAACTTCCCGCGCCCGTGAGGCAACTTCCCGCGCCCGTGAGGCAACTTCCTGTGCCCGGTCCGATATGGCCGCCGGCGTCCCGCCACTTCCCTCCGCCGTCAGCAGCAGCTTGGCGGGAGGATAGGAAATGGCTACACTGTCCGCCCCACGGGACAGTCGCTCAGCATGAGAATAGGACGGGTGTCTGTTAGGGGTGCAACTAGTGGCGACGGTCCAAAACAACTGGCATTCCATCACATCGTTGTTTGTGGCATTGCGGTCCGATGTTATAGCCTTGTGTCTATCGTTGCCTGTAGGTTATTGGGTCCCTGAGATTGCGTGTCGATGCTTGATTTCTATCTTCCACTCTGCCCGTATGCGTCTGTCCCCGCCGGGCTGATCGTTTGACACAGCTGTAGCCCATGTCCCGACGGCAAGTGGTCTAAATCAGACCCATCAGGTCCGGCTGTGTCGACTGGGTCACCGCTTCTACGCCCTGGCTACAGCCGTACGGCTCCTAGTATTGTCCCATCCCTCTAGCCACACGCGTCCTATCTCGCCCCGTTTCGCTCTGTTTACCCTTCGGCCTTCCCATCTTTTTCTCCGCCTCGTCTCGTCCAGTTTCATTTTGTTCCACCGCACTTGGAGCTCGGTCCTCGGCACAGACCTGACCGACTCCATTCTTATCTCATAACGTCGGTCACGCCACCGTGGTCAGGTGTAGGTACAAATAAAACGTCTGGCCCGGTGGACGAGATAATGTGACCTCGTAATAAAGGGAAATTGACATTAAAGCATGTCAGACGTGCAATGTTGACCTGGCTTCGCCAATACGAGTAGACTGTTGAGAAACTGTTGGCTGGCAACGAGCGATCAGCCTACCTGGGTGATAGGTTTGATTGAACCCCTGACGTCGCTGTTTAGGTCCGTGTCGCACTACTCTAATGTCATTCAGCTTATCTAATCGCACAAGTGTCCACCTTCCGATCGAAGTTATGCCGTACACGTAGCCGTTACGCAATTGGTGTCTGCCTCTGGTGGCTCGTTTATCTAAACAAAGTTACTATCACCCCTCCCCCTCCTCCCACCGCCTATGACCCGTCTTCTCTCTTTTATCTCTTCTTTTTTTGCTTCAGTGCCTCCCTTCCTCCCTCCCCTAGTCCCTCTTCCTTCCTCGCCTCGCCACTCTGCTCACCCTCCCTCCCTCTTTCCCCTCCCTCCGTGCTCGCCCCTGGGTCAAGTGGGCGTGGTCATACAGTGAGGTCAGGCATGTGGGCGTGGCCCCACCATAGGCTGTAGGACGCCCCCGGCCAGCCACTACCTGACGTGTTGGAGATTAAAGACGCCCGATCGACACGATACCACCGTGAGGGCGCGGTTATAGTCTGGTGCTGGCTGGTGCTGCAGCTGGTGACCTGGAAATGGTGGCCGGGGTGTGGTGACCTGACCAGGAATGGTGACCATTGTCTGGAGTCGTGGAATGTTGACGGTTATTTGAACAGTACGATGGCCAATGTATGGTTTGATGAGGGGTTGATTTCGGAGATTAAGCGGTACCTTCCGTGGCGAACATGGTGGATTCGCCAGAAATGACTATGAGGCGGAGGTGGTGTCCATAGCCGGATAACATGTCCTGTCCAACGGGTCTGGGACGAAGACTGGCTACGTTTTTGCTGAGGCTGCGGGAGCGGACATCGCGCCATGAATAAAAAAGGCGTTTTTATATCCATGTCAGCAGGGCTTTATGTAATCTGAGCGTGCCTAACGACAAGTTATCCAGGCCAGCCGAAAATGCACAGCGCTGCAGTTTCATCAGTTCTGTGTTGCATTGGAAGCCCGTATGTTCGTTCATTTCAGCGCGGTACGGTTAGGATACTCGTGGTCTGCTACTCACGGCGTTTAGCAAGGTGGTTTGGAGGTCACGTGAGGAGCACTATTCGTCCGAGAGGAAAGGAGAGGATGGTCCGTACTCCGTGCCGTGCCGCGGGCGAAAGCCTGTAGACGCTGCCTCTGACTCAGCTAGCTCCTCTCAAAAGGGGTACGAATCGAGCTAACTAATCATGATCGACCGAAAGCTGGGTAGTTTGAAGAATCGGGCAAGGCTGTTTCAGCTCTGGCAGCGTCGGCGCCGGTTGTGGCCGCATTGTTCGTGGTCCGAAGTGACGCTAAAACGATCGTCATGGCTACGTCTCGTAACGAGCGTGACTGGCAGATTCGTGCGTCTGGATGTGGGCACCCAGCCAGCAGAACTGGTGTGAGCTAGATACGGTTCGTGGTGGTGGAACCTGTCGAAAAGATGAACGTGGTGCTGACAGACATTAGGGGCATGGTGACGGTTAAAGTTAAGATATGTGTGGTAAAGATAGTTATTGCTGATAGTATGATGATTGGAGAGACTCATGATAGGGGCAGATGAGCACAGGATGATGATAAGAGACAAGTGCGTGATAATACACGGAGATGCGTCCTAAGCGCCGAAACCTGCGTGACGACTGGCATCACGTGATGTCATGGCTGTCAGCAGTTGCGTGTCATCTCCCTCCGTAGACCTGTTGTCACCATGACGCGGTGTTTTGTAACGCTCACGGGACGGTGACGCGGGCCGTGACTGAACGGACAAACGTGAAGTTAGCGTGTCAGCTGGTAGCGCTGTGTCGTTAGGCGGTATGTACTTAGTGAGTGTTGTCTAACTACTTTTGGAGCGAGACGCTGTTGGCTGACCTCTTCCTTGTAGCTCTCTTTAGATAGATGCTTGTATTAGGTACCAAATGTCCATCACAAACTACCTGCTTCCCTCATCTCTGACTGTCTCCCCCCATATTGACCTACCTCTCCCCATCTGGCCTCTCCCCTCCCTCCAATCGCCCCTCTTTAACTCACTCTTCTCTCTCCCACAGCCGGTTCGGCGGTGGACGCGTTCATCGACCAGCTGATCCCTCTGCTGGAGAAGGGCGACATCATCATCGACGGCGGGAACTCCGAGTACCAGGACACGCGCCGGCGCTGTCAGCGTCTGGCCGAGCTGGGCCTGCTCTATGTCGGCTCCGGGGTGTCCGGGGGCGAGGAGGGCGCGCGCTATGGGCCCTCGCTGATGCCCGGAGGCCACCCGGCCGCCTGGCCGCATATCAAGCCCATCTTCCAGGTGTGTTAGGGGTATTGTCTGGATGAGTGAGGGGGATGCTGGTCTTTGGGGAGAGGAGATGGGTAGTGCTGCGGTGTGTCTAGTGGAAACTTTCGGTAATGTGTGGTTTATGACTAAACGTGCCTTGAGTCTTGAACTTAGACGATGTAAACACCTTGTCAGCTAGCGACCGGCATTAGAGGGTTGCGGTCCTTTTGCTTAAAGAAAAAATGTTTTGCCTACCTTCACCAAAACGTTTAAGTGATGAATTTGATGTATAACGTTTTTCTCGATGCATCATCTTCATACATGTACCATTTTTGCGTGATTTACATTTTACAACACATCCGACGCTCCCACGCCTCCCTGTGCAGGCGATCGCGGCCAAGTCTGGCTCTGACCCGTGCTGCGACTGGGTGGGTGAGGACGGCGCCGGGCACTTCGTCAAGATGGTCCACAACGGCATCGAGTACGGCGACATGCAGCTCATCTGCGAGGCCTACCACCTGATGCGCGACTCGCTCGGCATGAACCACGACGAAATGAGTCAGGTGAGTCGGATGAGGACTGAGGAGTCAGAAATGAGTCAGGTTTGTACGAAACGGATGTTACGGATGAGTGATGAGCTGAAGGGAATGAGTCAGTTGAGTAATGAGTTTAATGGTATGAGCCGTAAAATCTTGCCTCTGGGACGCCGAATGCTTGGGACTGGCTTCTGAATCGATGATGATTACTGGCAAATGAAACGTAGCTGGATGCAAGTTAGGGTGCAAGAGAGTGTGCCAATATGTAGTAACAAGGGACACGCCGGGCTAAATGTAGCATTTGTGAAAATGTTTTCAGTGTTCTTCCGCCTTTGGCGTTGTTGACATGTCGCTTGGTATGCGACGTTCTCAGTCGAACTGACGTAACTATTCCGTCAGTTATGTTTCACTTTCGGCGCGGCATGCCATCGGCATCACATGAACACGACTGTGGCGCGGGAACGCTGTACAACCGTCACAAAACATCGTCACGAACGGCGCTGTGACGTAAAATGGGCCGCTCGGTGACCGACAATGGCGAAAGTAACAATGGGATGTCTCGTGGTACCTCGTTACGAACAGTTTCTTCAGAATTGTATCACCACCGGGAGAGGCAATTCTCTTCATGAGACTAGTTTTGCTAGAAGAGCACGCTGTTAATATATTTTATTGAGACAGATCCCCTGGTCCACATCTGCGAATTACGGACCACTATGCGACGTACCTAAACTACAGATCGTTCCGCACCCCCGCCCTGCTAACCCACCCAGACAGAGTCGTAAACAACTCTGGCCGAATGGGTGCTCGTTTCGACCACCAGGGCGGTGGGTAGGTAACTATCACCAGTGATTGGATCTCAGACTAGGCGGAGAGACCAGGTGGTGCATACCCCTCGGACTTTGTGTGATGGTTTGAGTAGAGTGTGCAGGTCTACGCAAATGGGGAGATCGTCTGAGAGGGTGGAACATACTTCTGTGATCGTTAGGGGGATGTAAGCGAAGGAAGGAATCCAGGACGGTAGAATTTAGACTGAGGGTATGGTAGAGCTGCTGAGCGGCGAGCAGCTTTGGAATGATAGCAGCGGAGAAGGTGCGTTAGAGCACCGGGAGCAGATTCGGACCAGTTTCTGTGAGCAGTGACTGAAGCCGCGTGCGGTCTATTCAGGCACTGTAGACTCACACTGGGTGAATGGCGGTACGCCTGAATGGGAGAGCCCCTGAGTGAGTCCCGCGCTCTAAAACTGAATTTCCACCGCGTCGGCGGGGTCAGGGGTGAGACCGGGTCATGTCAGCCCTCCACGACTTCACCATAACTTATTCACCGCTCCCCTCCCTCCGGTGACCCGCTTCGTGCTCCGCCAATACCATATCTCTCTCCGTCACCGACCGGGTCTATGGAGGGTGGCCGGTCACGTGACTGGCTCCTGGCCGGCCGGTGCGGCCCGGTGGCCGGTCACGTGATCAGCCCCTGACCGTGGCCTAACTCACGGGATGGCCGTCGCCTGCTGGGGTGTTTGTTCGGCTGAGAGTTTTTGTGGCGTTGGGTGGGGATCACTAGCTGTCCGGGTTAGGGAGCACGGACGATGCATCAATTAAACCATGACTGTCGGTACTGTGTCACGAGTGGTTAGGCAACTGGAAATCAACAGTGTTTATGTAAGAGGATGAAATAGTTTGTTTGGGCTGTATCCAAGCTCAATCCTTACATTGCAAGATTTCTGCATCCAGCGCATGCTAGTGATGGGATCTCTCAATATAATTACTTGGAATTGCATCACGATTCAACCCAATAGCTCATGTTTTTCATAACAGTCATTTCATGGTAAATTTGCCTCATTGCTCCTTTTCCACAGTTCCAGTATGACATTGTACCCCGTCTCTAGTTAATCGGCTTTGCTCGAGCCATGGATTTTTCACAGCCACCAATCACACGCTCTTTTATCACTCCCCTTTCTCTTATTACCCCTTTCTTTCTCTCTCCCGGCAGGTTCTGAGCGAGTGGAACAGCGGCGAGCTGGACTCGTTCCTGATCGAGATCACGGCCAACATCCTCAAGTACAAAGACTCGGACGGCCAGCCGCTGCTGGAGAAGATCCGTGACGCCGCCGGCCAGAAAGGCACCGGCAAGTGGACGGCCATCTCGGCGCTGGACTACGGCGTGCCCGTCACGCTGATCGGCGAGTCCGTGTTCGCGCGCTGTCTGTCCAGCCTCAAAGACGAGCGGGTGACCGCCTCCAAACACCTCAAGGGCCCGGAGAACGCCAAGTTCAGCGGCGATAAGAAGGAGTTTATCGAGCAGATCCGGCAGGTGGGTGGCGGGACGTGAGGGGGAGCTTTTGCGGTAAAATTAGTGTGTGTAGTGTGTACCCATCAGATGCGAATACTAATATTCCTCATAGCCACTGTTAAGTGGCTTGCTATGTTAGTAGCCTTGTATTTATCAGCCCATGTAATGTGTTTTTTATTCTTCCCATTTTTTTTACTTCTTTAGCTAGAGAGCTCTGCATCTATCAGCTTCGTTTTGAAGAGTTATCTGCTCGCCCGCGCGTTATTCCGACAAGGGTATTAATTGCTTTTGCACCAAGATCAGGAACTGAAAGGCAGGCAGTAAGGTTGGGTTAGTACGGTATCACGCAGCGTCAATCACCGCTGTTTGTTCGCTGCTGTGGATTTGGAGGATGGCTGCAGAGTGATTTTTTTCCTCCTTGTCTAGCATGCATTCAACGCAACTCGCTGGGTTTTGTAGAGTAGATTCGCCGGGCAACTTCGTGCCATTGCACTATGTTTTAACTCTGGACCAAAACTGGCCAGGGCTCATAACTAAGAAACTATATGAGATACAGACGTGTTTTTGGGCTCAAACGAAACGTTGGAGACTAAGGATCATTTAAAGTGCAAAATGTGTCGGACCAGATGCTTATGTACTTGTTTATGACGTCACACGTGTCACGAAACATATAAAAATATTGTCATGTTCTAGCTATGAATGCACGAACATTTAGGTATCTATAAATTTATAATAATCGCAAGTCTTAGCAAGGCTCATCGACGAGGCAAGTCAAGTTTGGGGACATGACCTAGTTAATTAGCGTTGATGACCTCAGGTGACCTTGAATGTTCTTATACTTATAAGACTTATTCATATAGGACCTACAATCTTTATATTTATTTCAAAAACATTTTTAAACGTATGTTTTGATATCAACTTGATGTTAACCCGGTCTCCACTTTAGTAAGTCCAGAGTCTTGTATGTTTTACGTCACATGACGTCAGGGACGGATCCAGCTTATCCGTTTGGAGAGGGCAAATGTTTCCGACCCATTCGGCGACCCCGACCCACCGCCGCGCCGGTGACTTTACAACGCTTCACTACGTCTGCAACCTGCATGCGTGTAGTTCAGGGATTTCCATCTGTTATCAGCATACCGACCTAAATAATGAGCAGCGAGCGGTCAGCTCCATCCCTCAGAATGGTTGTGACGGAAAGACCTGCTTTTCGTCCAGATAGGCATCGACGCCGTATTATGTTTATCATCACCAAAAGCTTTGGGAGCGGAAAATGATAGTCTTGCCCACACGACTCAGCAATGGGGAGGGCAAATACCCTCTATGCCCTTCACTGGATCCGCCATTGCATGACGTGAAATGGTAGAATGTATCCCAAAACTTCTTACCAATTCCTATTGTATGGTGCGTTATGTAACATGCAACGTGCACGTAAAAGCACTTCATTGCCATACTAGTTAACTGACGCTTACTGCTGCAAACGGATACTTTTTCATAAAGGTGGACAGCACTAATGACACCATACCACCTACGTCGAACGTATTAATACTGACTGAAGAGGCCGATGGTAACCCTGCCGATCATCGTGATCAGCGATGCGTGCTATGGCCGGTCTCATACAGTCACTTTTCAGTTCACAGTCCCATCGCAAACTGGGCACAATGAATATTTTATTGCGCTCCATCAGGTACTAAAATATGTTTATAAACTATCAAGCAAGCATGTGTAGCGACCATACAGCTCCAGAGCCCATCTATGAATTTCCTGCAATAGCCATGGAGTGGAAAGTTCCTGTTATAGACCTATAGGTACTATTTACACCGATAATGCTGTTGATATTTAAGAAATGTATATTTCATAGGAATGCTAGCAGTTTTTGAATGAACAACTGTCACTCACCGACATTGTCCGGTCTCCGGTTCCGGAGACCCTTTGTTTTCTTCTCGCGACACATGAAAATGCAACTGGCACGTGTCGTGGGGGGTCGTGCCGTCAGCTGATTACGCCCCAGGGTACGGCAGGTCGCACACAGGTCGGCGACCTTCCATTGGCCACCAACTCGTCACAATAGACGAGAGAATGAACGAGGAGTACTAGCATTTTCCCTTAACGCACGCTAGAGCCCGTCCCATGGCTCAGCAGGAACAGACATGACTCATTCAAAAAAGTGTTCACCCCCAACCAGAGTTGGCCTGCGCTACGCTACGTTACGCACTACGTTACGCTACGTTTGCTTTTTTGGCCAAAACTACGATACCGAATTACGATACGTTATATATTGCTACGTTACTGAATTACGGTATTTGTTAATAAACGCAGCAACTTATTTTATCGTACTACGTTATGCAATATGTCATCATCCACTACCCAGTGGAAACGGTTAGTCTCTAGTAAGCCAAATACTGCGCACAATGATCGCCGGCTTTGCAGCATCGTCGGTGCGGCGGTGCCTACGCGCTACTCGCTAGATGCGCTGGAGCTGGACTTCCGACAGGGAATTCCCTGGGACTCCCCAGTGGGAAATCCCCGGTGTCGGTCCGGCCGGAAGAAAGACTCAGTGGTATTCATATAGCAGGCTTCTCATCCGTGTAAACGGCCGGAGGTCTGGTGACGATATGAGTAAACTGAAAAAATTATGTACCTTATACAAATACAGCTGACCTGAAATTGCTACCGAAACCATTTCGTAGTTCCTACGTTATTCTATTATTTTCCGTACCACGCTACCGAAACATCCCAATTACGCTACGAAACGGAACTGACAGCTACGGGTTACCGAAAACTTCAAAATAACGTAACGTAGGCCAACTCTGCCCCCAACACCGGCGCACTCAGGCGCAGCTGAAATTTTGAGGACATGTAGACAACTCCTTGACCTACAGTGTGGTGGTAGTCTGAGACCGTACACTAGCGTACATTTTTTTGTAGCTCTAAAAGAACATTTACATTTTTCAAAAAAGTGTGCCAATGTAAGGGCTGACGAAAATCAATAAATGTAACACCTATATGCATTATAATTATATAAATTATGACTCATTACAAAGCCAAAAGTTCGCGCTATCGATTGGTACCCAAATTATATAGTTTTGTCAATCCAAAGCTCGAAGATGTTGACGTGAAGCAAGGCGACTGTTTCTGCGCTTGTTCGCCGAAGTTTAGCTTTTGAGAGTTGTCTGACTTTGTTGAACTTTTTCAACCTTTTTAAAAGTAAAGAGAATAAAAGCTTCCGTCGTTAAAGATGCTCTGATCATTTTTGAACACGATAGTGGCCAAATGAAAACGTTTAAAAATAGTCGATATTTCGCGTCCTGGCCAGTTTTTGGCCGGAGTTAAAACACGGTGCATTGCTCTGCCAACAATATCGCTTGAAAAGATGGTCACGTTGACTGTTGTACACTTTGACATCAAAGAATGGATTAAATCCAGTTCCTGACCACCCTATATTATTTCTGGTCGACTTTGTATTCATGCATCGTACGGGCGGCATGCTTCATTAGTCTTGAGTTCGCTCGAATAACGAGTGAAAGCTGCCTGGCAAATGATAGTTACCGACTATTTATCGAATTGGTTCCCACTGTGCGGGAGTTTTGCTAATGAAATGGCCAAGTCTGCTACTTCCATAACACTGCAGGCGTTAAGTCGTATATCTCATCAACATCGCAGAGAGATTCTCTATCTGCCTTGACTTGCATATGTAATCTCCAGACCTCGCTGCTCCCAAAAGCCCTCTTGTACCATTGAACGTGACTGGCTGGAGTTCAGAATGGCCTCTTCAATAGAACTGGATACTCTGACCGTATAAAGCGACGGGTGCTCTGTAAAAAACGAGCAGCGCCGGTCACGGAACATTCTGGGTTAGCCCGCTGGGTGGGGCTGCTAGGACTGAGTTAGTGGGGTCGGTGGGTCCGAGTTAGTTTGAGCGAGTGGGCCCGAGTTGCTGGGGCGAGATTGTATATGGGTCGTTGTGAGTAAATGAGCCAGAGGGTGGTCTGATAAGGGAGTTCGTGGTTGCTCTGTGAGCTTGATGGAATGTTTGGTTGTTTTTGCAACAGCATGGTATGCGTGTTACGATCAACTGAATCGATTACCACACCAGAGCTTGCGACTGCGAGGCCTCATAAAGTGATATCCAGTCATGATTCAACTGGTAACAATTTGGCTTGTACAGTTAGTTGACTTAGTGACATGCTGTAATGTCCATGATTTTTATATTGGTATGTATACTATCCAGTTTCTGACCCACCCGTCACTGCTCTTTGTCCTCAGGCTCTGTACGCCTCCAAGATTGTGTCGTACGCGCAGGGCTTCATGCTGATGCGGGAGGCGGCCAAGTTGTTCAACTGGAACCTCAACTACGGCGGCATCGCGCTCATGTGGCGTGGCGGCTGCATCATCCGCAGGTGAGGGGACAGGACGAGCTTACATGGACACTGGCTGCACCATCCGTGGGTCAAGGAACAGAGAGGGTTTGTCTGGAGGTTAGAGGCAGTGGGTGCGAGTGCGACCCCCGATGGTGAGAGGTCGAAAGTCGGCCCACAAGTGCCACCTAGCGGTGTTCGGGGAAACTCAAAATGCGACTTGGAAGCGTTAGGTACGATATTGGTACCTTGCAAGAGGGGTTTTCATCTAAGATAACTCTGATACTCGCTGCTGCAATTATTGCTCATAGTAAGAAGGCTTGCGTCCTTTTGTTTAGCAGTGACCGTAACAAATGAGCTCGATAATAATTGGTTTTGGGCCAGGCTGTGGCGCTACCTATGAGCTCTGCGGATTCCTCAATAATTTTCCCTCGTAACTAAATGTTTCTACTCCCTCGTGTGTGCGTGCTTCTGACTGACGCCCCTCCCCCTGCCCACAGCGTGTTCCTCGGCAACATCAAGGAGGCGTTCGACAAGCAGCCGGACCTCTCCAACCTTCTGCTGGACGACTTTTTCCGCGAGGCCATCCACCGCTCCCAGTCGGCCTGGCGCGAGGTGGTGGCCACGGCCGTCCGGCTCGGCGTGCCGACCCCCTGCTTCAGCACCGCGCTGGCCTTCTACGACGGATTCCGCTCGGAGCGTCTGCCGGCCAACCTGCTGCAGGCTCAGCGGGACTACTTCGGCGCTCACACGTACGAGCTACTCAGCGAGCCGGGGAAGTTTGTCCACACCAACTGGACGGGCACCGGAGGAAATGTGTCCGCCTCCACCTACCAGGCCTAGGGAGCTGAGGGAGAGCGGAGAGGGAGGGGAGAGTGGTGTGAGGCGGCAGAGCGGCTGCGGCGCCCGGTGGAGGGGTAGAGGGAGACCAGAGAGCTTGGCGGCCAGGAAGAGGAAAGGAGGCACCTGAGATGAAATCACGGCTGGTTGGAACTTGACGGAACACGGCTGGAGCATGTCTGGAATGTTATGCGACGGACGAGGGAGTTGGGAGGGTGAGGGTTGTATGATTTCTTTGTTAGATGCGAGCTGGATGGTTTTACGTTCAGCCTATGCCCATTTCAGAGCAGGGCTCAGTAAAGTAAGATATATTTGGCTCAAGCCACTGCCCGAGAAACTAACTGAACGACTCAGCTGTTGAGTCTGGCGCAGCCTTGTTTGTACCGTTCGTTTTCTCCATTTTCACACATTCCAATCCGACCCGCCGTTCGTACGCCCCCTCTCGGTGTGTAGCTCGTCTCTGTTGTCGCTGGGGCAGCCTGTCACCTCTCTCTGTTACCTTTCTGACGGAGCCGCCATCGCTCGGCGCCCGGTGTCGGTTGTTGTCCTCCAGCTCCCGGTTGTGAGTTGTGAGGCCGGCGCGTTGTTGACTGCTTTATCGCGATATACTCGGATTGGTGCTCTGTCGATGGGAGGACGGTCTCACGTGATCTTTCTGTTTCGCTCGCGCGGTCTGTCTGTATCGTGAAGTGCGCGTGGTGTGTGCACGGCCGTTTGGTGAGGTCTGTTAGTTGGAGACGCCGCGAACAAAGTTATTATGAAATGATATAAGGATGGTCTATTGTATGAGGATGCAGGACCAATATTGAGATGTCCTCAAACGAAATGAATAAATATTTGTAAAACGCGTTTGATCTGTGTTTGGTGCTAACTGCTAGACACAATGAAATGAGCTCCTTTTTCCCGGTCATACGACTCGTTACAGCAATGTGATTTCATCTGGGTTTATCAACGTCACTGGTCTTGAAATCGTCTGCAACGTTAAAGCAGTCCTGTTGGCAATAATGGCAAAGACGCACCGTGCACCCTCATAAAGCTGCAGGGACAAAGTTCGGGATTGGTATATAATCTTTTTGCAGGTACTTACGACCTCGTGGAATTAAGGACCGAGACTGAAAGATGTTGCCGGTGTTTCGCGCTTTCCATTGCATTTTTATTCATGACAGCGTATTTCAGCTGCTGATTCGCCTGTCTGAAAAACATCGACCAATCGCTCGTCGAAACTGACACAATATTCACCCCACCTCATGTGCTAGTGCTGGAGATGCTTCCCGTTTGTAGTTCGCGCACCGGAGTAGTTGCCTTCGTGTCGTTGTCGCCCTCATTCAGGTTTACCGAATGTCTCGTTCTCCCAAAAACGGCTTCCAATACATTTACATCAATCGGTGGATTGAAAACACGAGAAATAAACACATCATGTATTTTATGTGGCGACAGTATTTGCAAACTATGTACAAACCTTGTGATCATGAATGCCTCGAAGAGAATAAGGACGATACCGCTATCTGGCAATGCTAAAGTTGGCAGGATACCCACTATACGTCGCACATTCACTCTTTGTTCGAGAAGCGCAAGCAACGCTAAAACTACTACTGATCTGCAGCCAAGGACGGAAGCTTGCTGGCTGAGCACACTGGAAACCTTAAAAACACTGCCTGTGAGAAACACGCCAGCTTGAATAAAACTGATATGGATAAGTACAAACAAATTCTACCCTTAAGAGTAGAACCAAAATGGAGATCAAAACTACGGAATATAACCAGCAAACACAAAGGTCGCCCGAAAAAAGCCAGCCGATCGCACCAAGTTAAAACCAAGTTATTTTGTAGAAGGTAGCGTCTAAATATGAGCTTTCGCTTTGTACACGGGCGCAAAGGGGTATCTCAATGCAAACAGCAACACAATGTCACAGCTAAACTAGAAGACATCCACAAAATAGGCTGAACATAGTCACACGACTGGAAGACTGGACCCAAGCCACACATTAGGTCCCTCTTCAAACAGTCACAGACAGACACAGACACAAACCACAGTCACGGCAGTCTAAAACACCGGGTCCTTTGTCAAGACCATGTACAAACCATCTATTCACAACACGGCAGCGTTGGAGGGAGGCGGCGACCGGCTCGCCGAGTCTAGAAGTCGGCGTCGAGCGTGAACTGGCGCGTCGCCGGGCTGGAGATGCTATCCATGACGCCAGCCTTCTGGTACTCGCCTACTCGCTTCTCGAAGAAGTTCGTCTTGCCCTCCAGCGAGATGTGCTCCATGAAGTCGAACGGGTTCTCCGAGCCGTACACCTGGTGGTGGAGAGAGAACATGTGAGCAGGTGAGCAGGGAGGTGAGCGTGGTGAGAGGACCATGGGGAAGGTGAGATGGCGTTCTGTTAAACAGAATGACGCGAGGATGTACGTGACGGCGATATCTTACCGTGCCGTATCACAGCAACATGACAGCCAGGGTAACTTGTTGGAATTAAATACTGTTACCTTTCAAAGATGCCGTTATCGATACCGACTCTCTGATTGATTCCATAGAACATGGGGCTCAGGTCCCAAGTTTTAAACATGTTGATATCACCCGTTGACTCTTACAGCATCGTCTTATTTACATCGTCGTCAGCATTCCCGGCTGCCCGAGCCGAGTCCGTTGAAAGCCTACTGGCGGGAGACGGTTATCATGAAATCACCGCCCACCGCAGCGCCCAACAGCCGTTCAGCAATGTCCGGTTGGCGCCCAACAAACAGCCGTTCAGCAATGTCCGGTTGCAGCGGGGCATGTGAGGGGAGGGGAGAGAGGAAAGGGGAGGGGGAGGGAGTAACCGGAGGCCCCTCGGCGGCACACCACATGTTCCGACAGGAGCGGGGTGGCGGCCGCGGTGGTGGGAACGGCCCAGATAGGGGAGGGGGAGGGGGGGGGGTGATAGCGTCAGCGGAGCTCGGGATTCCCCGTTGTTTGGCGCCACCCTCCAAAGCGCCGATGTACGACTGGGGTTTGAACAGTTGAACACAGCTGCCAGCCGGTGTGGGCCGTTGTGGCGGGAACGTGCACATGCAGGCCAGACAGAACTTGGCGTGCACATACCATGTTGTGTGATGACGTGGCTCTAACGTGGAGTGGAAAACTGGTACGGGACACTTCAACGGCTGTTTTAGAACTTGTTTGTACGCGCTGCACCCCGGCGACGTTTACACAAGCTTCAGCATACAATCACAGGAAAAACTGTTCTCCAGATTGCCTGGACACAGCAGACTCAGAAGCTAATCCACCAACCCGTCTCACTCTCCATGATTCCTTCCAAACTCAACCAATACACACCGCCACCCCGCTTCACACCCACCCACAATCTTGAAACAGCCGCCAATCACCCACCTTTGGACATCCGAGCTCGATGAGTAGCCGGTCGGCCACAAACTCGATGTACTGCCTCATCAGTGTGCAGTTCATGCCGATCATTGCCACGGGCAGCGCGTCCGTCAGGAACTCCTGCTCGATGGTGACCGCCTCGCGCACGATCTGGGTGACCCGTTCCTCGGAGGGCTTGTTGACCAGGTGTTTGAACATCAGACAGGCGAAGTCGCAGTGCAGGCCCTGGGGGAGGGAGGTGTGTGGTGAGATGGCTGCCAGGGGTTGTAACGTGTAACAATACGGAGATCGGCAAATGGAGGATAACTGTTAGAAACAGACATTAGTACTAGTCAGGTCGTATGCGTGAGGAAAAGTTGTGAAATTGAGTGAATCAAACCTAACAATGCTGAAATTTCGATATTAACTGGTAGAAAAAAGATAATAGCGTCATCACCAAGGTATATGTAGAATTTAGACGTGCTCGGCATAGATCATTGAAAGGAACACTGGGCTATATGTCAGGACCCCTTTGCTGGGAATGGCAGCCCCTCCCTCCCTGCCAGCCGTCGCACCTCGTCCCGCGAGATGAGCTCGTTGCTGAAGGTCAGGCCCGGCATCAGGCCGCGCTTCTTCAGCCAGAAGATGGCCGCGAAACTGCCAGAGAAGAAGATGCCCTCCACCGAGGCGAAGGCGATGACGCGCTCGCCGAAGGTGGCCGTCTTGTGCGAGATCCAGTTGAGCGCCCAGTCGGCCTTCTTCTTGACACAGGGCAGAGTCTCGATGGCGTTGAACAGGTGATGCCTGAAGGGATGAAATCGGTTAGCATTTACGGCCCAGGAAGGAGCCAAGAAGGGAAAACGGGGACGAGAAAGGACCGACTAACGAATACCCTAAACAACGCACATTCCACAGACAAATTATCGTAAATCGTCACTCAAGTGACAGACTAGTTGATTCGAAACGATTATTTATCTCGTGAATCACAATTACCAAACCACTTCACACAAATCCAAGAAACTACATGGACATCCCCGCACACACCTCTCCTGCGGGTCCTTGACGTATGTGTCGATCAGCAAGCTGTACATCTCTGAGTGCACATTCTCCATAGCGATCTGAAAGCCGTAGAAGAAGCGCGCCTCGGGCACCTGCACCTCGGTGCTGAACCGCTCCACCAGGTTCTCGTTCACAATACCGTCAGAGGCGGCGAAAAAGGCCAGCACGTGGGAGATGAAGTAGCGCTCCTCGTCCTTGAGACCCTGCCAGTCGTCCAGGTCCTTCGACAAGTCCACCTGGTGAGAGAGTCAGCACCGTCAGACACCAGCGGCGATTTCATGTGGTGGACTGCCTCCGACGCTGACTGATTCCGTATGGCGCACAGCAAATAACGAAAAGACGTCTGAAGAACAATGCTTAGAAATAAGCTATTAAAACTTCATATTAATGTTGACACAGTTGCGTTTAATTCTTTGGTATCCAGTTTTCGCTCTTTTCTCACCCAATACACGTTCTCTAAGCCTTCCTTTTATGCATCGATCCCCATGCGGCACAAATCGATTGTCGGCATCTGAAAAACGACGACCGAATTATTCGGCCTCGTTAACATTTCCTATGATTTGATCAACTTTGGGGGTATGAGAGCTCAAACCTTGAACCGCAGGAGTCGGTAGCATCCGCCCGGAGCCGGAAAGGACGGGAAATTCTGCCGGAAACTCATGGCGATAACTACAAAGACATACAATCTTCTTACAGCTTTGTTTTGGTAATATCAGCTCTAGAGATATTTGCGCTCGTTTTTACCTCTTCAGCGGTCCAGAACGAAGCCTCGGCCTTCTTGTACATCTTCCAAATGTCGTTGTACTTGATCGGGAGAATGACGAACCGATTCGGGTTCTCCCGGAGCAGGGGTTCATCTTCCACACCGGTTGCCTGGGCCGGCTTGGGCGCCGCCTTCTTTGGACTCTGCAACAGTGACAGGATGCAAGATTAGTCCAAAAGAATGGCAGGGGCTTATCAGGCAACAACAGTCAGAGCTGATAATACCAATGATTTATACACATTTGTTTACCACTTGAAGATCGAGGGTTATTTTTCCAACATTGCCCATGAGATGCATGCTCATTACCCAATTATGTTGCTCAACCATATTAGAAGCAGTTGTCATTTGGAGGTAAAAAGAAAGCTATGACACTTTGACAGAATATCTGCACATTGCAGATTTCCTTACCTTGAGTACTTTGGCATTTCCAGATTGCAAGGCCTGCAATAAAAGAACAGGCAGCATTGAATGAAAAATACAGCCTATTGCTCTAATAGAGAAAGGGAAGTTTCAAGCCACAAACTAGCTACCTACTTACTGATAAAAAATAAAAAACCTCTGTCAAGTATGAGAAACAAGGGCAGCACACTAAATAATCGAAAGTGACTTAAAGTAGCAAAAACAAAAGTAAAACAAAGCATTGCACAAAATTGTAGGTATTAATAATTGCACTTACATTTGTTAG